TATTCGTGTTCACAGACTGTAAAAACAATCGATTTCAAAAGACATTAATTTGGCAGAACACGAATATATAAAGCTGAACTATGCGTTTAAGTAATTTAAAGCAGATACAGTCGTGCTTTATCAGATATAAAGCACTCCTACGCGCGTGCTTTTATAATATATACTATGGTGTATAAAGAGCGCTCGCTTTATAATATGGATAGAGTGGATATGTAGTTTTTATTTACCTCAAAAGGTTGCCACAACAGCCCGTTTCATCCAAGAGGAATCATCAGGTGGCTCAACAGCCTGTTTCATCCAAGGTTGCCACAACAGACTGTTTCATTAAGATTCCGAAAGGAATAATCAGCTATGATGATTCCCCTTGGATGAATTAAACAGGCGGTTGCATGTAGCAACCAATTTGAGGTAAAAAAAATATTTAAATGTATGTTTGAATATAGCAACATCGCATGGTTAAGGGTATTTCAAACTTTTAAGTTAACGCATTTGATGGGAGGTGGTATAACCTTCAGTTATACGCTTGTGAAAGAAGTGCACTTCAAAACAACACATGAATCTAATATGCATGTGCGAACATGCTGTATGTCATTTTTAAAGCTTATATAGGTGAGGGCTTTCAAAATCATTTTGAGTAAGCGGCCCGTAGTAAAAAAGTAGGGGGATGAAAGAATTCATTTTCTAAAAGTTATATGAGATAAGTGCCAGTGCATGTGGTCATCTTTTTGCTAAAGAAACTTTGTTTCTAGAGCTAGTGGAAGAGTGCGGAAACAATTGCTCTTATACTTATGTAAAACTCTTCGCATAAACTGAAACCAAACACTTGTCTTTCATTATTATTAAGCACTGTAAGTATGTGAGTGGGTCTGCTGGTCATCGTTATATATTATTTGCACTTGATCAAGTATAGAATGTTGTCTAAGGTTTACTAGAACAGCCAGTTTATAACTCATGTTTGATAGTGGAACACAGCTGGTGGAAGGGTCAGTTAGGAGCTAATTTCAACCCACCCTGTCAACATTCCCTGTATGAGGAATCTGGATCGGAGTACCCGGAAAAACCCACGACTTTCGATAAAGCGCATAGAATCTTCACATTTCACATGCACGAATATCTTGAGCCGCGGTAGAACGAGAATCGAACCTACGCGATCTCGGAGATGAAAGACACTTTCTGTGATGACTGCGTCACCAAATGATGATTTCTTATTAAACTAAAAATATTTTTACCATAAAATATTGATTAATATTCCAAATTTGATTTAGTTTTTAAGTGTTCAGGAAAAATTGCGTGGGTAACCGTGGTAGTAGGGTTGTTTGCAAAATATGCGGAAATTTCCATTATGTGTATATAATATTTTCTTTTCTAAAAATGAAGGCAGACCAGAATTTTAAGTCCGGCCAGTTTGTTCTACTAGTGAGTTTTTGATTTGACTTACACTACAGCTACTATTACTTAGGGGACCATGTATTAACCAATCAGATCCGTTTCCATACCTGATTAACCAATTATATTCGCACTTTGGCAGTAAAAAGTAGCGGTAATGGTAGTGAAAGTCAAATCTAAACCTCACTATATTGTAGCCAACTGCGAAGACATTAAATCTGATTAAATCCAAGGCTTTTAGATTACATCATACTCCTAAACACTTAATTTTGATTCAGTCATAAGACTGGAACGATATATGCTTCACCAAGTATTATTATCATCGTGTAAGATCAATAAAGAAATATCATGGTTAGTTAATTGATATACTCATGAATTTTTAATGGCTGGTTTTAGGTTTGGGACATCAGATCAACGTGTTAGCTGTCCATTAAAGCTGTTTCTAAAATCTTCAGTATATATATAATTTAGTTTGGCTCACATCCTTTTCAGAGCAAACCCTATATTTTAATTATAAAGAGGACTAATTTTAATAGTTACTATGGTAACGACGATATAATGCCAAAATCTTTAATTTGAAAAACATGTTTTCAGGGTGGAAGACCACCTTAAACTGAACAAAACTAACTTATTTATATACTGGATATAACCCTATCAACTCTAAATTAGGGACAGCAGATCGGTTGGTGGGCATTGTAAATTTCAAGTGGTGACAGAATTAGCCAATTCGCAATCGAGCAGAGGACTGGGTCTAGTTGATGTTTGGAAGGACGTTTGGAGGGACAACAAGTTATATAGTGAGCGAGCTCAAAATATATTAAAAGATGCCTAATTCAGTTGTTATAACTGTTGCGTTTCAGGCTGCACAAATAACGTTAGGGATATAGGGAAAAAAACTAGAAAAGGAAACTTAGGAAACTTCCTAAATGCCATATTCGGCATATTGTTTATTTTTTGTCTCTCCAAACAAGCAACTAAATTCATTTCTTTGGTCGATTGGGAAATGGCTAATGACACTTTTGGAGTTGATTCAACTCCCTGAAATTTACAGTGTAATTAGCATACCACTTGAATTTCATCCCCGAACCGACGGCGAGGGTACTAATTCCCCCCGGCTATTTACACTCGGGGAAACGAAAGCATTAGCCAAGTCTAAAGTTCATCAATGAGCGCGGGCGTGGGTTACCGTGAGTGGTTCGGTGGGTGGTCATCCTCACTGATCTCAAAAATATGGCGGACTGTCATGAATAGCGGACACTGATTGGTCCAATTTAAAGTTTGCATTATAACGACTGCATGACGACAGCGAAATAGCAAACATTTCTTGATTTGATCATGATGATTGATAAATTTCTTGCAAATATATTTCATTTTTGCAAGATTTTGTAAATGTTAAGAAAGAAAGGGCGAAAGAATCGGCTCAAAGAAGGGAGCCGACGTTAACGAAGGTAAGTTTGTTTTAAATATTGATTTTATAATTGCTTTAAAACCCGACGGCCTTTGCGTATACGAAACAACTATAAAACAAGACAGCATTTCATTTCAGTGTATCTTTAATATTGATTCCCTTTTTTATTATATTGAATTTTTTAAATAAAAAAGAAAGCAAAGTTATTTGCATGCGAGAATTTGAAATCATTTTATTGCAAACTCAACGTTTATCGATAAAGTCATTTCATTAACGGCAGTTTTAATAGTTTTATAAAGAACACTTTAAAACGTTTTGCGAAGCGTTTGTGATTGAATTTTACCTTAAATTCAAGCTTATATTACGTATAATAACATACCTAACATATATATGTTGGGAAATTGACAATTTTGTAATTAAAAGTGATATTTTTAGGCGATTTTTCATTTGTAAGAATATTCTTAAAAAAATTATCGTGTTACCATGACAACAACTTTAGATACTTCATGTTCGGAAAATACAATGGTTTTGTCTGCAAGGTGAGGGTTTCTGCATGCATGTATTTTCTAGTTTTAAAAATAAGCTACATGTAGACAGACTCCACTTTCTCTGCGTTTTACATATAGATAATTCAAAAAAGGTTGTCCTTTGCAAACCTTAAACTCTAAAACCTTAAGTCTTAAACTCTAAGCGTACAAAGCATAGTGAACAGAAATCATATATGGGGCCATTTCTTAGAGAAATGGTAAATATCTCCTTACCAGAACAATTAATTCACAAATAGCTGCAATATACAACTACTAAGCTTAGAACTTGTGCTCCCTTAGAGTTTAAGGTTTAGATTTTGAGGTTTGCAAAGGAGAATCTTTTTTGAATTGGCTGTTGATGTATTGTAAATTCAGTATTTCATTCTGTCTGAAGATGACTTTGAAATGAAAAAATATACAGTCTAGCTCAACCTGCGTCTTGTTTCCAATAATATATTGTGACAATATTTATAGCATAACCAAAATTTACTATACAGTAGATCAGACATCATTTTCTCCTTGGCGGATCGTCTAAAAATATTTTCATTTTAGCTAGCATTGTTTTACATGATAAAACATTAAACATGCTTTTTAGGTTTATATATAGAGTATATTAAGGAAAAGTAAATAAATTAAAATCTTGTAGCCTATCGTCATAACCTAGTCTCTGAAATAATAAACTGCGGTATATTATACTCATTTTGCGCGAGGTTTTAGCGCTTGTTACGAAACATACAAAAATATTCTCTCAAAGAAAAAATATCCAAGATTGCAATATTAATATTAAGAGTATATTTCCGCATTTTTTTGAAAATATTAATTTTGTGAGGGTTCTCGAATTCGTAAATTTTTACCTACTTTAGAACAATCAATCCTTTCAAATAAATTAACTAATCATTTTATCTTTGTGCTAGCCCACTGAAATTATAAGAGGTTAAAGTGGCTCTTTCCCTGTATAAAACCCCCGACAACATCGGTCAGTTTTGTTAGTGTTGATAGACACCAGCTTCACGGACGTGAAAATGAAAAGACGTGTGATTTTTGCTCTGTTAGTTTTGCTTGTGCTTATTCAACTTGGCCGCTCACATATTCAAGATGAAAATGGTAAGTTACAGGCGTCGTCTCGATAAGACCAAAGGTCGATTTTGTTTTGGTCATAGTGTTAGCTTTAGTCGCGATCGCTGTTTAAACAGACCAAGGCGTGGTCAGAGCAGGACGATTTCGTTTCAGTCATAGAGTGGACCATTCTTATATATTCACGCTGTATAGCATGGTACACCGTGATCGTGCTTGCGCAATTCTTAGAGATTTAATCCAAATCATCCCGTACTGATCCACTGCTATAGTATAAGCGTCATATTTTTATGAGCTATGTAGTATAAGCGTCATCCTTAACTATGCTAACATTATTTATATACTGGATAGCCTTATTAGTTCTTTCTAGAGAGCCGGTAAAGTTAAATTAAAATCCGGTTTTAATTACAAAATGAAACCAATTTCCAAAAGATATATATATATATATATATATATATATATATATATATATATATATATATATATATATATATATGTTATTATACGTAATATACACTTCATATAAGGTAAAATTCAACCACAAACGCTTTGCAAAACGTTTTAAAATGTTTTTTTATAAAACTAAACTGCCTTCATCTATAAACTTTGAGTTTGAAATAAAATGACTTCAAATCCTTGCCTGGAAATAACTTTGCTTTCTTTTTTATTTAAAAATTTTAATACAAAAAAGGATAATCAATAAAGATACACTAAAATTATATATGCTGCCTTTCTTCATTTAAAATATACGATTACCTTTTAAAGCAATTATAAAGCAAACCATATACATGCATCAATATTTAAAACAAACTTACCTTCGTTAATGTCGGCGCTTTTGCTCCCTTCTTTTAGCAATTCTTTCGCCTTTTTTTCTCAAAAAGCTTTTGAGATTTACAAAATCTTGCAATAATGAAATATATTTGGAAGAAATCACAAAATCAAGAAATGTTTGCTATTTCGCTGTCATCATGAAGTCGTTATAGCGCAAATTTTAAATTGGACCAATCAGAGTGTTCGTTATTCATGACAGTCCGCTACATTTTGAGATCAGTGAGGATGACCTTTAGAATTCGCTAATGCTTTCATTTCCCCGGGAATAATTATAGCCGGGCTGAATTAGTACCCTCGCCCCTGGTTAACGCCCGGTACGGCGCCCCGCGCCGTTGGCTGGGGGATTATAAAACAAGATGACGGATGGCAGGATATTTTGGTTTAAAATACCTCAGAAACACTAAGATAGTTTGGGGGAATTTGTAAATAGGTTTGTAAATAATCTTAACATTCTTTCCAATTCGGCAAACATAAGTTTTGTCGCCATTTTCCTTTAAGCCATTTTTATTGCCCATGAAACGTGAAATGGCTATTTTTAATTATTTTCCATGAGTTGTGATTTTACATGAATGAGATTTAGCAATTTCCCGAGAAAGCGGAGAAACTTGATTTTAAACATATTGCAGGTAATAGAACATCGTTTTATACACAGCATGATACTTTTAGAAACTGTACAATTTAATTTCCGTGTTTAAACTACACCGTTTATTGGGTAAAAGCGAAAGAAATAGTATATAGTAATAGTCATGGTTTCCGTGAAACGTGACACAGAAGATTTTTTACTTCGTAAATCGTGAGATCGCCTTTCGATGCCCAATTTTTTGTTTTGCAGACACAGGCGAAACCGAATTATCCAAAAGAAATATCCTTACAGCACGAAAAACGTTCCAAAAATTGAAATCATCTTTTATCAGGCTGGCTGCAAGAAATGGTAACAGGAAAAGGTTCAGGACACGGAGAAGGATTAGATTTAGCTTGCGAAGAAAATCACGCCCTACAGGTAATAAGAATCATGGTTTCAATGATGTTAATTACTTACAATCGCCCATACTTTTGAATGATAACTCAGAAAAGACATAATTAAATATCTTAACCTGACAACTGACGATTGTGAAACCGACATAATCCCTCGTTAATTTTTGAACTATAGGCTCGTCCAAATTAGATATAGTATTTGTCATGGATAAATCTGGAAGCATTGGCCCAAGTAACTTCGTCTTGGAAAAAAAATTTGTTCAAAATTTGATTGAATATTTCCCAATATTTTCCGCCAAGACTCGAGTAGCGATCGTTACATATTCCACTCGCGTGAAACTGGAATTCAACTTTATTAAATATATCAATAAGAAGTGTTTACGAAAGGGAATTCAGAAGATTAGGTAAGGAAAGTACAGTTGGGAACAACCATATATAACAGACACTTTGTGACCATGCAACCTTATAATTATAATTAATATAACTTACATTATAAATTTTTACAAATTATACAGTGCTAGTTTCCGGATTGTAATTGTTTGTTTTGGGTTTTCTCAAAAAGATAATAATTTAAAAAAGGTTGTCCTTCGAAACTCTATAGCTAAACCTTAAATTTTTAACCTTAAATTTTAAGCGCGGAAAAGGCAATAGGAACACACAGTGTTTGTCGTATTTAGTCAGAAAACCAGAAATACTTCACATAATCCTTGTGCATTTACAGCCGAAATTCACGATTGAGAGCGTTCTCATTGGACTTCGCGCTTAAAGTTTATTTTATGGTCTACGGTTTAAAGAGGTCTAAGCTTTAGAGTTTAGAAGGACATGCATATATATAAAATATTTTAGGGCCAAATCTTCCTTTAAAGCAGAAAATGCCACTTCATAGACTCTAGATTTCAAAATTTTTCGCAGGAACATGGCCCCGGACCCGCCTAAGTTTGTTTAGCAGCTGCTCTAAGTAAAGCAATCCTCTGTTGCCTATGGTCCGCTGTCATGCAAGTGTTTGTTAATTAGTATATGTATATTGATTTTATATTTATATTTCCTTATATATCTAATCCTTCAGATTCAGTTTTACTATTAGGATACCCTTTACTCATCCTGTTATTTATTGTCAAGTTTATTATTATTTAATCTAGTTAATTTAACTATTTTCTATTTTTTAATTTTCTGTAACTGTTTACGTATCTTTGTATATTATATGAAGATGAATGAATAAAATTTATTACCTTTCATTACCTTCGTATATACGAAAACAGTAATTGTTTACTCCACAGATACACAGGTGGTCTCACGGCCACCGGCTCTGCCCTTCAATACGTGAAAAACCGTTTGCTATTCAACCGTGCTGCGGGAGCTAGAAGCGAGGCTACGAAAGTGATTTACGTGCTAACGGATGGTAAATCTAACCTGGGCGTCAAACCTAGCATTCCTGCCGTCCAGTTAAAACGAAGACGAGTGATTATCTATGCCATGGGGGTGACAAGCCATATTAGAGAAAGTGAGCTGAGACAAATAGCTAGTTTAAAGGACCATGTGCTTCATGTTAGAAATTATGCAGTACTGAATGAAGTAACACGCTTGCTACAGGGAGGTGAGTCGATAATTCAAGAGACCGTTTCAAAGGGCCCTCATAATTGTACGCTTGTGCGGAAAGAATCGCCATTAACATCAGCTTTTGCTGTTTCGTCTAACGTCCTTAATTAAATTCTAAATAAAATTTTGATAAACTTTATTATCATCATCATCCACATTATCATCATCAACATTATCATCATCATTAGGCCTAACATCATCATGATGATGGATAAGTTGATCTAACAATTCAAATTTGTGTCAGCATGTTCTTTTTAACAAATAAAAAGTGGGTCATTTTTTTGTTCTTTCCGCATCCTGATGTCATACTGTGTATCTATAACTGAACAGTTTATTGTTTTATATAATAAAAAGAAAAACCCCGAATCAAACAGGTAAATAGATTACGTTTTGTCTACTCAAACATTTTGGAAATTTGAAAAAGTCGAAATTTTACAAATATCACGCGTACATCATGATCTATACAAACAAGGGAATGCTATTGACTATACCTTAATTGGGACGTCATTCCGTGCGTGTGTCCTCTAATACATAATGGCTCTGGACCTTTTACATTTTATAACACCAAAAAAATCATATTCTAATATATGATTTTGACCCTGAGCTAATAAGACCATGAAAACAAATATAACCCAGCTTTTCTGCATGATCCTAACCCCTGACGTTAACCTCGGCTTAAAGTACTAAGTACAGTACTGTACTGATGTAATTTTTCAGGACAGTCAGGTCGGTATCCTGGTTAAAATATAGCAGTTCCTTTTTTATGAATTCGTCCGTGAGAAGGAGGGAAGATCTACAAAAAGGACCATACTATAGCTGTTTTTCTTGCAACTGCATGTGATGTGTCGTTATTGTCTTCAGACTACTATCAAACTTATTCCATATGAGCTTTCCCTAAAAATTAAAACCATGTGAATAACAGGCGCCTGGTTTTTTGGTGGTCAATAAACAAGACAGAGTGTCGACTGTTACTGTGCTAAAGCGTATACCCTGTGCTAAAGCTTATATGAGGTTTGGATGAGTATCGATTTGGTTGTCGATAATGAAACAATTAGTGAAGAAATTTGGATAATCTTTTAAGATTTTTTCAGTGCGGGAAAAAAATTGAAAAAAAAGATTTCAGACTATGGTTGTGCGATGCTGGATCGGATGGACTATGCAAGACCTGCCTGCAACTAAAACTTATAATTTATCCTTCAGATTTATCACGAAAATGTCGTCATGGTCAGACAGTTTACGACGAGTGTGGACGACGCTGCAAATGCCAGGCTGGCAGGCTTGTTCATTGCTGTAGAATGCGGAAAGAGTTTACCGATATGACCTATCAAGAACGAGTTCGATATATCAAAACAGTTAAAACCGCCTCATCCGTCCTGCCTTACAAAAGAAGCCATGAGGCGTTGTTAACTATGCATAAAACTCTCTTCGACACTCCCATCCACCGCCGCGATTATTTCCTTCCCTGGCATCGCTGGTTTATATTACAATATGAAAACCTCTTGAAGCAGATCGATTGTCGTGTAACTGTGCCATACTGGGATTGGAGTCTAGTGGGTGCCAATCCCTTCGCAAGTAATTTCTGGAACACAGGCGCCAGCGGTTTTGGTGGAAACGGCAACCCTCCTGGTAGTTGTGTCAATACAGGCCCGTTTCGAGTCGGGAAGTTCTCACTTGTCGCTTCGGCCGGAGGGGGTTGCCTGACCCGTAACTTTAATGGCTCAGCTCCCGATGCTGTGGCAGTTAAAGACTTACTCACAACCACCCCTGCGAATTTTTATGAATTTGAGGAAATGCTAAGGCGAAAATTTCACGATGATATTCATTGCATCATACGCGGGACAATGTGTAGCCCAGATTCTGCTTCAGCGCCTGAATTTTTTCTACATCATGGTTTTGTTGATAAAATTTGGTATGTATTTGTGAAAATAAAAGTATGGGATGCTAACGCTTTTTAAGCCGATTTACAATTTATTGTTAGCATTCTAACTATATAAATACCAGAAAAAAACAGATCAAAATTAGTAAGCAGAAAAGTTTGGACAACAACAACAACAACAACAACAACAACAACAACAACAACAACAACAACAACAACAACAACAACAACAACAACAACAACAACAACAACAACAACAACAACAACAACAACAACAACAACAACAACAACAACAACAACAACAACAACTACAACTACAACAACAGCAATAGCAACAGCAACAGCAACAACAACGACAGCTGATTTACCATAACTTTATTATTTTGTAATAAATTTTCGAAGTTTACATTGTTTTTAAAAATAGTGCCAAAGCCACAGTTAAAAAACCCCTCCTAGTAATTACTAATTTGGATCGTTGTTTTCATTCATTCTGGTATTTACAGAGTTTACAATTATCTCAAAACGTTGACATCAAGTTTTCAATTGACTCAAAAAGTTAGTCGGAGGCTTACTTGGGCACCTTTGGCTGCCACCATACAACCAATGTTTGATCACGCAACTAAGGTGACCGAAAGGGTTTGCTTGTCGTTAGGGAGAAACATCGTAGTACCTGGGGGAAAAGGTCGAAACATATAAGGGGCTATGCACAAGATACGTTAACGCCACCCCCACCCCTTAAATAGGGGGGGGGCGTTTGAGCAATAGTCACATTTCACACAGCCCTGTCACGAGACGAAGAGATGAGAATTTATTGTTAAGTCGGTACCACGAGAAACGATATTCTTGGAACTGATACCTTCTGAAAATACAACTACGCTTCCTCGTTATTATTTTTGGCACTACCTACGCATTGGCAAGTACCGTTTTGGCATCCCGAAGCTTAGCCCAATCCAAACAAGCGCGAATTCTAGTCTGTCATGGATTGTTAAAATGGTTGGAAAAAGGAATGTAGTTAAAGACTGATCTAGCACATGCTCACGAATTTTCGAAAGGGGGTAATATTCTCAGGGGTAGCTAAGGAGAGTCGAAAATCGGCCTAAAAGCGTCATATATGCTGTGCATGGTCCCAAAGAGAATCAACCAAATTCAACTTACAAGCGTTTTTAAAGTACAGGAAAGTTAGCATAAGTAATTAAATCCTTCTTCCTTCACGTACACCTACATCTACAGTAGCAAGCTTAACTCAATCGTAACGGACAGCGCGTTAATTACATATCCCACTTGTGCATGCTCCACTTGTATAAAATTAATTTAATTATCTATACATAGTATAACATGACGAAGTATGCATGGGTACCGGTGTGAAATGCGGTAGCGCACTGCTCCTTACTGCTGAGTTAAGCTTGCTACTGCAGGTCGGAGGTAATTTTATCGTTAGTGTAACCAGCCTTGTTTCAACAAGAAAAAACATAACTAACTATATCTTATTATGTATTTTTGGAAATGCATTCAGCGAGTTTGCCAGTGGCGTGGTGGTAATGGTGCGCGCCTACGAGTTAATATGTCGTGGGTTAGAATTCTGGCAAGTGTAACTCGTTTATTTTTGTAATTTATGAAAAACATCCTTCCTACTAATTTTGACTAGGATTAAGTTTAGAGTTAGGTTAAGTTTGAGCTTTGGTCTGGGGTTGATTTATTTTATAGAAATAAGTCTGGTTACAAAACAAAAAAGTGGACAAAAGTGAGCTCAAAAATACGAACTTGCAAACAAGACTCCTAATAATAATAATAATATATAAAGATTTATACAGCGCTTAAATTATATAAAATATTCCAAAGCGCTTTACAACAATGAGGTTATACTATATACAAGTAGCTAAAATATTAAGAATTAAGGTATAGGTGTCTATAAATCTAAAAGTTAGAATCAAAAGCTTTCTTAAAAAGGAAAGTCTTTAATTGAGATTTAAAACAGTCAATTGTTTTACTATTTCTAATACCAGAAGGTAGCATGTTCCAAATTGACGGAGCTGCATGCACAAATGCTCGATCACCAAGAGTCTTGGCTCTAGTTTTTGGGATAAAAAGTAGTCCCTGATCATCAGATCTCAGTTGGTAACAGCAGTTCGGTTTTTCTAACAACAGTTCCATAATGTAGCCTGGCGCCATCCCGTGGAGGGCTTTATATACCAGAAGTGCAATTTTAAAATCAACGCGAAACTTGACAGGCAGCCAGTGAAGGTGCATCAGGACAGGGGTAATATGAGCACATCTTGGTATAATACACGTCACTCTAGCAGCGGCATTGAGAACTCGTTGAAGACGCTGAAGTTGGTATTGGGGAATGCCGAACAAGAGAGAATTGGAGTAGTCCAAGTGTGACGTCACAAAGGCATGTACGAGCGTTTTAGTTGATTCGATGGAGAGAAACTTCCTTATTTGTCGGATGTTGTACAAGCCCCTAAATGCTTTACTGCAAACCTTGCCCACATGGACATTCATCGACATATGTTCGTCAAACCACGAACCTAGATTTCGGACTTCTTGTACAGGTTTTATATCAGCATCACCAACTTCAATCGAGTCGATTGTAACCTTAGACAGCTGCTGGCGAGTTCCAATTATCAAGAATTCCGGTTTAGTGTCATTGAACATTAATTTATGTGAAACTAACCAAGCACGAACTTCGACGATGCAATTATTAATAGTTTGAATAGCTTGGTCTTGGACAACGGGTGACTCAGGACGGAAAGATAAATAAAGTTGAGTGTCATCTGCATACCCATGGGAAGAAGGTAAGTGCCTGTTAATAATCTGGAACAGTTGAGACACGTATAATAGGAAAAGGGCCGGTCCAAGACAGCTTCCTTGTGGTACTCCACAGTTCAACGTAAAATTGGCGGAAAACTTTTGCTTAATATTAATACGCTGCTTTCTACAGGAAAGAAACGACTTAATCCACTTTAAGGCATTTCCGATCACACCAAATTCTAACTTCAATATATCCATCAGAATTTCATGATCAATGGTGCCAAAGGCGGCACTCAAATCCAAGAGCACTAAAAGAGTTACTTTCTGTTGGTCCATGTTCATAAGGATATCATTGTGGACTCTTAGGAGAGCTGTTTCGGTAGAGTGAAATTGACGATATGACGATTGGTTGTTAGGAAGAGGAGCATTATCAGCACAATGCTCAAATAACTGGCTAACAACTGCTTTTTCCGCAGCTTTAGAAACGAATGACAGGTTATTGACGGGCCTGAAGTTCTCAAAGACTAGATCAAGACCGTATTTTTTTAGAATTGGAATAAGAATGGCAACTTTCCATGCTTCTGGGACGTGACCTTCACTTAACGACAAGTTGATCATTTTCATAATGACAGGTGTTAACTCACTGGCACATAATTTCAGCAGCCATGTTGGGATAGGATCAAGGTTACATGTTGCATTCGACGACTTCATGATTATGTTATGGACTTCTTCTTCTGACAGGAGCTTAAATGAGTCTAATTTGATATCAGGTAAACGATAATCTACTAATGGTGGGTCTACTACAACGCTTTCAATGTCATTTCTAATTAGCTCAATCTTTCGACAGAAATATTTTCCGAACTCATCAGCCAGTTTCCGTGAATCATCATGTGGAGGCAAGGAGTTTTCTTGAGGTGTGTTGCAAAGTGAAGACACAACCTTAAAAAGTTTTCTTAAATCTCCCGAGCATTGATCGATAAGATCAGAATAGTATTTATGTCTAGCATTTTTCAAACTGGTAGCATACTTGTTACGCGCTTGGCGATAAGCGTCTTTATCATTTTGGCAATTTGATCGTAGCATTACTTTCTCCAGTTTTCTGCGTTTGGCCTTAATATAACCTGAAGTTCAGGCCCTAATTTGAAATAGGGCCTGACACAAAACCTGTCTAGACCGTGGGACGCCCACATGTTATTTTTAGACACAAGATGCAATATGATTGACAAGTGTTCTAGATTTCGTTACACAAAATTAAAAAATTATATTCTCAATTTCTCATGAACATGTCCGCAGAGTGTGCATTTTGCTTTATAATTAAACTTAAAAATTCAAGGTACTTTTATATAAATAAGATTCAGACAAAGATTTAATTAGTCAGTTCTGTGCACGGCTAGACTGCCAAGCTTTCTCAAGGTCTCAACTTGCTGGACGCGGATATTAGGGATATACTTTATTAAAACGGGCTAACAACAGCAACAATGAAATTCTCAATCGTACCACGAAGAAGGCGATGTAGCTCAGAAAACAACGCCGGTAGGACCTGATATTAAAAATAAGACTTTTGCCGGCGAAGCCAGTTGGCAAAACATCTTGGCTGTCAACAACAAGCTTTCGAATACATGACTAGTTTGGCTGTTCTTTCGGCGTCGTGTGTCCAAAATTCGTCCAAGATTTTGATAAAGCCCTTTTAAAATACTGTTTGTTTGATTTATTTTCTGCCATAAAGCATAAAAGAAAAAGAAATTCGAAGAAATCGATAATGGAATTTGTACGTGCGTTTGACCTTTATATTAATTGTCGCCTTGACCGAGCTATTTTTAAAACTGTTTTTTATGTAAACTTGCAACCAATCAAAATCCTTCATGATGCTGATCAACCAATCAGATTTCCCGTCCACCAGGTGGACGGGAATCTCACACTTTAGATAGGTTTTGTGTCAGGCCCTATTCTGTGATTAGGGCCTGAACTTCAGGTTAGCCTTAATACGTTTAAGTTCTTCACTGAACCATGGTACTCTTGGTCTGACAACCACTATCTTTCTTTGTAAAGGGGCATGTTTCTCCAAAATATGTGATAGCGTATTATCATAATGTTTCACCAAATCATCTAGATTGGAGCATGGGTCATTACACAGTTTGGAATCAGTGATGTCAGCTTTGAAGGCCTGAAGATTCAAGCTTTGAAGGCCACAAGATTCGGGCGAGGAAAAGAGAGGTTGCATTCAACAAAACAATGATCTGACAAAAAGAAAGTAGTCTTGACTAGGTGAATATTAATGTCATTGGACGATCTCGAAATTAGAAGATCCAGGGTATGCCCAGACGAGTG